TGGCCTGCTGTGTTCATCCAGCTCTACACCTTGTTATTCTCAGATTCTCCAGCATCTGCAGTTCCTACTTTTTCTGAAACGAAGTCTCGGGAACCTGTCTCAGCACTCACTCACCTCCACGGCCATCTCTGAACTACTGCGTTACCTCTGGAGGTAGCAGGCTCAACTGAACCATGCCCACTCCAACACCGACCAACCCACACCCTTCCCCTCCCCTCCCCTCGAATGAAAATAGTGTGGAGGGGGTCATTTCCAAGGAGATGGTTTTGCTCAATTGACTTGAGATTCCTCCTCACTCTATGGTAACGATCTAAGCCATTAGCTGTATTGGTGTGTCCACAGATACTACCTCAGTTGTTCAGCATTTCCAGAATCCTCTCTCATTTCTTTAATTCCTCTTTCTTATTTCTATTTTTATTGACCCTCGGAAACACAGATATAACAGCACGAGATCAAAGCTCAGTTAACCTGTCCTATCAGCATTTTCTGACTATTGCACTTTACTTCTTAATGAATTGCATCAGCACATAAGGATTGAAAATCCAGGCCAATTTAAGGTATTTTTCTAAATTAGAACATAAGCTTAGAATGCTGGATGAGTTCGAAGTATGCTTTGCCGGAGGGCTATCTGTTATCTAGACATCTGTCGGGGCTTGTTCTTTTCCCTGTTGAAACAGGTTTCCATAACAACAGTTGGCTTTAAACAATTGCATTTACCTGCAATGCTGCAAATATTAACATTTCTTCCTCAGTGCAATCAATTTCCTCCAGCAGAATTGCCCACCGTGCTTGCTCATATAGCTGGTTTATTCGGACCGCATCATACTGCATGCAATAGAGAGAGATGTCACTAAGGGTATAACACAGACACCACTCTTTAGTGTACAAAGATATTCTGTTACAGAGGAAAGAGAGATGCATAGAGTATTACAGAGTTAGATCACCATAAAAGCTGACGCTATCTGTCACCACTGTATTAATCGTGTCCACTCCAGCATGGACTATCTGTAGAGGGCAATTTGGGGATACATTCCTAAAACTACCTTCCTTATTCTTAAAAGGCAGCAGTGGGATAGAAATAGTAGATAGAAATAAAACATACAATAAGACCATAAGACATAGGAGCAGAAATTAGGCTATTCAGTCCATCGTGTCTACTCCGCCATTCGGTTATTGGTGATAAGTTCCTCAACCCCATTCTCCCGCTTTCTCCCAGTAACCCTTGATCCCATTGACAATCAAGAAAGTATCTATCTCTGTCTTAAATATACTCAATGACATGGCCCCCACAGCCTGCTGAGGCAGTGAGTTCCATAGATTCACCACTCTCTGGCTGAAGAAGTTTCTCTTTACCTCTGATCTAAAAGGTTTTCCCTTTATTCTAAGGCTGTGCCCTAGGGTTCTAGTCTCTCCTACCAATGGAAGCATCTTCCCAACATCCACTCTATCCAGGCCATTCAGTATTCTGTAAGTTTCAATTAGATCCCCCTTCATCCTTCTAAACTCCATGATTATAGACGCAGAGTCCTCAAATATTCCTCATATGTTAAGCTTCTCATTCCTGGGACCATTCTCGTGAACCTCCTTTGAACCCACTCCAGTTCCAGTACATCCTTCCTGAGATATGGGGCCCAAAACTGGACGCAGTACTCCAAATGCCAACATTGCATTTGCCTTCCTGACTACTGACTCAACCTGCAAGTTTATCTTGAGAGAATCCTGGACTAGAACTCCCAAGTCTCTTTGCATTTCAGCTTTCTGAATTTTCTCCCCATTTAGAAAATAGTCCATGTTTCTATTCTTCTATACCAAAGTGCATAACCTCACACTTTCCCACGTTGTACTCCATCTGCCACTTCTTTGCCCACTCTCCTAACCTATCCAAATTTTTCTACAGCTTCCCTGCCTCCTTAATACTACCCATCCCTCTACCTATCTTTGTATCATCTGCAAACGTAGCCAGAATGCCCATAGTGTCTTCATCAAGATCATTAATGTATAAAGTAAAAAACTGTGGTCCCAACACTGGCCCTTGTGGAACCCCACTGGTCGCCATTTGAGGAAGGCCCATTCTTCCCCCCACTCTCTGCTTTCTGCCAGACAGCCATCTATGCTAGCACCTTGTCTCTAACACCATGGGCCCTTATCTTACACAGCAGCCTCATGTACAGCACTTTGTCACCTTGAAGTCCACGTAGATAACGTCCATTGGCTCTCCTTGGTCTAACCTGCTCGTTACTTCCTCAAAGAATTCTAACAGATTTGTCAGGCATGACCTCCCCTTGATGAAGCCATGCTGACTTTGTCCTCTTTTACCATGCACTTCCAAGTATTCAGAAATCTCATCCTTCACAACAAACTCCAAAATCTTACCCACGACCGAGATTAGGCTAATCGGCCTGTAATTTTCAGTCTTTTGCCTTACTCTCTTCTTAAACAGGGGTGTCACGATAGTGATTTTCCAGTCCTCTGGGATCCTCTCCGACTCTAGCAATTCCTGAAAGATCACCACTAACACCTCCACTATCTCTTTAGCTATCTCCTTTAGAACTCTGGAGTGTAATCCATCTGGTCCAGGTGATTTATCCACCTTCAGGCCATTCAGTTTTTCTAGCACCTTTTCCTTGGTGATGGCCACCATACTCAGCTCTGCCCCCTGTCTCTCCTGAATTTTTAGGCTATTAGTCGTGTCTTCCACCATAAAGACTGATGCAAAGTAATTACGGAGTTCCTGAGCCATTTCGTTGTTCCCCACTACTGTCTCTCCAGAGTCATTTTCCAGCAATCCAATGTCCACTTTTGTGTCTCTTTTGCCCTTTATATATCTAAAGAAACTCTTAGTCTTCCTTTATATTACTGGCTAGCTTACCCTAATATTTAATCCTCTCCCTCCTTACTACTTGTTTTGTTGCCCTCTGCTGTCCTCCCAAAAACAATAAGGACAGGCTCTGCAATCAGATCATAGGTCACTACCATACAAATACTTATCAGATTCTTCTGAAATACTTTTCTCCATTATTGCAACAGTATTATTTAAAATAATTAATGTCTCAATTAAAATAGAGAAATTTCAGTCAAAGTAACTAAATGTTTACACAACAGCTTTGCATGGAATATTTTTAAGGTCATGGCATTATAGTCTTTATCCATTGAAGATTGTGAAACTCTTCATAAATTTCTGCTTAGCACTTCTGCAGCAAGATTAATGTTTTTGTTGTACCTCAGAAGTACCTTAGCTGAGAAAGAATCAACTGAATATATAAATGTTTTTCCCTTATATTATAGCCCACACAGCATTCATCCCAGAGAGGCAGTCTCTAGGTTTAGCGGTCTCATCCTAGTGTGAAAATCTTGTTGGTGTCGAGGCTTTTGGCAGTGGCTTCCAGGTATTCCAGTGGCCTGACATGGCATCTCGTCTCAGAGTGGAGGCTCTATATTCCAGCCTAGAGTGGCAGTCTTGGCTTTGAGTGGTGGTCTCCAAGTTGGGCGTTCTTGTCCCAGCATGGAGGTCTTCTTTGGCTGTGGATTCTGGATATTCCAGCAATAGCTGTTTTAATTGACTTTCCCCTAATGGAAACTGATCTGAGATGAACTCTGTCTTAAATTTTTACTTTTTTCTCCTTACCTATGACTTCTGTCATTAATACAAGCACCATGGTATGGCGACTTAAACCTTTTACTGTATGTTTTCAAAGAAAAATACAAGTGACAATAAACTGCTATTCTATTCTAATAGTATGCCCCCATTTGGCTTAACTTCTGTGTCTCATTCTCAGGACTGAAGTGGGATGCTCAAAACATTATTATGACTGTGTCTCTCTTACTTTCGGGTTCAGATCAAAGAAGCTGTAGTACTTGTAACGCAACAGTAGCTTATCTTCCTTCTGGATGCCTTGTTCCATCAGTGAACGTGATGAATCTAGCCATCTGCAGAAATTGTGCAATGAAAGAAACTGTAAATAAATGATGAAAGATCTGATGTGGAATCTTTGCTGTTTGCTTTTGCATTATTTCACATTTACTGCATTAAAGCAACCCAGATCATCAACCTTTGCTGTGTTTGGCAGATCTGATTCTCTCCTTTATATCCACTGTAGTACTTTACAATAAGCATGCCAGAAGCTATTAAGATACAGTAAAAGGCATATTAATCATGATATTTAATGAATTCCAACTTACATTTTTACTGTTGTATTACTTTTGTCATATTGTCCTGAATTTAATTCTAGTTATTATTTTAACATGTATTTTTGAATTAATAATATGTCATCTTTTACATCAGTATTTCTGTGACCGATCCTTAGGATTGCAATCGAGATGAAACTTATAGCAATATTTCCATGTATAATGATCAAGTATTGTTAGCTGTATTCTGGAGGGCTGCTTTAGAGCTCTCTCGGACCAAGAGTGACCCATTTTTCTGGCTCTCGTCTATATGCCCTGATCAGGCAGATTCCAGGAGACACACATTTTCAGTGTGTGCTGGGAACACTAAGGCATTTGAAGGCATAGGGAATCTTAAGTGTGGCTTTTCTTGGAAGGATTGTTGATTAGATTCAAGTGGAAGCTACTTGCTTGGTGCAAGAACGTTACGTAGAATATGCTGTGCTGAAACAGTGCACTCAGCCAATCAGTCCATGCTAGCATTAATGCTCTAATTGCATTTCCAACACACCCACCCCAGAGTTACCAGTTTAACTTCAGTAATATTACCCTTTGTTCCTTTCTCCCTGATGTGTACATCTAGCCTTGTTTTGAATACATCGCAGTATTCATCTCAGTCACTCCTTGAAGCGATTACTGAGCACTACATATGAAGAAGACGTGAAACCAAATGAGGAGCAACAGAGGGAAGGAGGGGTTTGGAACAGGAAGGCAGTTGCAGGACTCTCATATCTATCTTAGACAGGGTTGAATCAACAAAATTAACAGAAGCTCCTTATGAACTCACTTGAGAATCTTCAGTGCTCCTTGTGCATGGAATGGTGAAGCAGTGCTATTCATAAATTTGTATTCAAAACATATATAAAGGCATACACGATATTTAGGGTGGTTTGGAACAACTTTTTGCTTCTGAGCACCTTCTCCCATGATATAAAACTTCCACAGACCCCCACATACAGGAATGTTTACTATATAAGAACTGGTATAGCCCAGTCAGCAAAGCTCACATGCTCTCAGATGAATTGAAGAAAAACAATATTAGATGGAGATATTATCACAAATATATTATGATCAGGGTCAATCACTCACTCCTTACCCTGAATTCAGCTCTTTTGTCCATGTTTAGACCAAGATTGTAATGAGGTCTGGAGCCACATGGCTCTTGTGGAACCCAGAATGAGCATCAGTGAGCAAGTTATTGCTGAGCATTTGATGCTTGATAGCACTGCCAGTGGCACCTTCCCATCACTTTGTTGATAATTCAGGGTAGATTGATGGGGGTGATAATTGGCCAGGTTAGATTTGGCTTGCATTTCAAGGACAGGAATTACTGGACAATCTTTCACATAGTTGGGTACATGCCAGTGTTGTAGCTGTAATGAAATAGCTCGAGTAGGCATGGGGCTAATACTTGAGCACAAGATTTCAGTGTACCTGCAGGGGTATTATAAAGGTCCCACAGTATCCTATATCTTTATATCATAGAATCCATACAGTGCAGATACAGGCCATTCAGTCCATTGAGTCTGCACCAACCCTCTGAAAAGCATCCCACCCAGACCCCCCTTAACTCTGCATTTCCCATGGCTAACCCACCTAACCTACACATCCCTAAACACTATGGGCAATTTAGCATGGCCAATCCACCTACCCTGCACAACTTTGGACTGTAGGAGGAAACCCATACAGACACCGGGAGAACATGCAAACTCCGCACAAAGTCGCCCAAGGCTGGAATCAAATCTGGATCCCTGGCACTGTGAGGCACCACTGTACTACCATACCACTTCACATATCATGTGGAACGAATCAGTGTCTGAAGATGGGAATCTTTTACACTATTTAAACATCTAAATTTGATGGGTTGAATGGGTGCTTTATGTGCCGTAACTTTTCTATGGTTCAATGGTACATCATCTGTTAAGTTTCTATACTCAAGGGAGTACAAGCCTTATAGTCTTTGCAGCCTGACTTCATAATTTAACACCATTATCATGGGAAGAGGGTTATGTATAATAAAGTTTTTCCTTTGCACCGTTTCAATTTAAATATTAGTTAATTAGTAAATAAATCATGTGAAGTTATAATCCTACCCGGCATTAAGCTCTGCTTTGTCCACTTGATTCTGTGGCCGGTACATTTTGGCCAGAGCCTCTGGTGTAAGAATCGGCTGGCTAACAGCCAGGACGTTACAGTTGCGTTCAGCTAGAGGACTATCACTGAACCATGTAATTGTAGAAGAGACAGGTGTTCCGTTGACAGGGTCATATATGGGAGTCATCGTCTTGCTGTACAGACCAGGACTTGCTGTGTAATAAGACAAGTGACAAAGTGTTTATTTTGTTGACTCTGAAGCACGGATATTTTGTTAGAAGTAAGCAAATAATTAGACATCATACAATGAAGCAGTAACCTTTGTCCTGATGTTTGATGTCTTAAGATGGAGGTCTAAATCTACTTCATTATTTTAATGTTGACCGATGAGAGATGCCCATCGTAAGAAATTGTAAAGACTGGCTACACCATAATTAACTATCTACAAAGTAGAAACAAATTAATAATGAAAATATTTCACTTGGCCATTGTGTTAGTGGTATCATAAAGCCACTGACAAGATGTCCTCTGAATGCTATTTCTTGTAAAGTTGGTAAAAAATCCATTTTAGAACTTCTACGCAATTTTACTAGGAATAGTGAACAGAAAAAAAAAAAATCATCCTTCAATGGTGGTGATGGTGATGGTGGGGTGGTGATTTCCACCCACAGTTCCAGTATGCATGCAGCAAAACTTGATAAATTGCATTGTAGCACACAATAAAACGTAAGAAATCTGAAGACAAATCCTAAGGACACAATAGATTACAATGAAAACAAAATTTTAAATTACAGTATTTGTGCTGTTCCACATTAACAATTGTCACAATCGTTAAAAGAAACATTATCATTGTGTTCTTAATATAATTTAGTCAGTAGCCAGGGTAATAACCAAGTGCACGTACACAAAAAATACTTTTACTGTCATGCTTCATTCATGCTCTGGCACTATGGAAACTAGGGTTTTTTTTTGAAATTTCAGATTTATTCACTGAATTTAAACACCACCAGTTGCTGTGGGCAGATTTGAACTCATGTCCCTTGAGCGTTAGCCTGTGCCTCTGAATTACAATTTAACCTCTTTTTTTGTCATCGTGTGGAATGTTGCTATTGCTGACAAGATTGCTATTGTTTGCCTATCCCCAGTTGCCCTTGAGCTGTCTCTCAGCCATTTCAGAGAACAATTAAGAGTCAAACATATTCCCGAGTGTCTGGAGTCACATGTAGGTCGGATCAGATAAGGATGGTGGATTCCCTTCCCTAAAGGACACTAAGAAACCAATTGCTTTTCAAGACAATCAACGATAGTTTCATGGTTACTGTCATGAGACTAATCCCAGATTTATTAATTAAATTTAAATTCCACCAGTATCCTCACTGGTTTTAAGGATTTCCTTCCTTACAAAGACATGAGTGAACCAGATTGACTTTTACAATAAAAGACAATGGTTTCCTGATTACCATTAGACTAACTTTGATTTCAGATTTCATTGACTCAAATTTCACCATTTATCATGGTGGGATTCAAACCACATGTCCCCAGTGCATTAGGTAGGACCAATTACTACAATGCTGGGATCTGAACTGAAAACAAAAAATGCTGGAAATGACAGTGGGTCAGGCAGCATCAGTGGAGAGAAAGCAAGCTAATGTTTTGAATCTTGATGACTCTTCATCAGAGCTGTCTCTCCAAAGATGCTGCCTGACCCGCTGTGATCTCCAGCAGTTTTTGTCCCCAGTGTATTAGAGTTGGGCTCTGATTACTCGTCCTGTGATATTACAACTAAATTGACACCCATCCTTACCAGGTTATCATGCTGTTCCTTTGTAACTTCCAGTGGCCAATGGAGACTGATTTCAGTAAATGTCTGATAGTGGGTCCTTTACTCTGACAGCAGGATGAATAAAGCATGGTCCAGGAAGACCTCAGGGTGATAAGGAATTGCACCTAGTCATCCTCCTCAAATTTGAGGTTTTCAAGTATACTGCAGTGTATACCTGACTGGCATGTAACTCAGTAGGATTGGGATGTGGAAAAGCAGAAATCTGTTTAATTCCACTTCATAAGAATCTCCACCTTATTTTATCAATTTAAAAAAATTAATTGTCTCCAACTGATCATTTTTCAAAAAATGAGTTTTCTACAGCAAATGGCTATCAATATCTCAGAGACAGGGTGGAACAAGTCTAAATTGTTGGCCTGTTTGCAGGTGCTATTTCAAAGTGAGTTGTTTCTGGAGATTACTTAAGGGACACACAAGATCCCCAGCTGATTGAAAAAAAATTAACAATGATTACCAGGTGATCAACTAACTTTAAATGATTCTATTATGGTATTTATTGTCAGTTTGAAAGACAAAGAAAGGATAATGAGAACCGAGACAATATTTAGATTGGACTCTTGTAGCTTTCTAAGCTAACAATGCAGAGGTGAGAAGAAAGTGCATGAGAAGAGTTATCAACTGAAAACAAAATTCTGCAGATGCTCGAAATCTGAAACAAAAAAAGAACAAAGTGCTGGAGAAACTGGGTTCATTATTTTAATTTGGACCAATGACAGATGTGCATTGTAAGAACTCAAAAATTGGCTACACCATTATTAACTAACTACAAAGTAGGAATGACATTATACAAAAATATTCCACTTGGTCATTGTGTTACTGCTATTGTAAAGCCACTGGCAAGCTGTCCACTGAATGCTATTTCTTGAAAAGCTGATTAAAATCCATTTTAGAAACACACATTTTTACTAGAAATAGTGAATAGAAGAAAACACTCTTCACTGCTGGTGGTGTTGGGGGGAGGGGGTGTGCAAGAAATGATCAAACTTGTTCACTCACAGTCCAAACTGTTTGGTCCCAAATCTCTTAATATTCCATTATGGAGAGACAAAATGAGATGGTGTCCACTTTTATATCATTGGTTGCTAAGAGATGACTTCAGCTTACAGATGCATCAAGTGCTATGACAATGGTAAATATGGACTATCAAATTTTACTGTTCAGCACCTCATAGTTATACTTGAGACCTTTCGTGGACTAAAATAGTTTTTAAAGGAGAAAAAAATATGGACCTGACCACAGATCGAGGCAAGCTCTGGCACACCCCTGGGGAATAAACAAAACCGTCTGTGCTGAAATAAGTATTTTATCCAAATACATCAAAAGCAAATGACTTAGCCAGCACCAAGAAACCTAAACCCCATGTTTGATACACATGTATAATAACTGCACATATGGGAGGAGGATTTGCTCACCCAGCAGTTCGCCAACTTGGAAAGGCAATCAAGCTAGGCTCCAGAATAGACACTGCATTTCAGCAAATGCTTCTGAGCAGCAGAAGAGAGAGAAGAAAATATAATTTGTGATAACAAGAGCTTGAACCCTCTCTCTCCCTGCTTCTTCCTCTCATCATCTTGGAATACAACACACAGTGGAAAAGCACAATGGGAAAACAACCAACCATTCACCGAGAACACAAAAATATATTTTAGAATTGCTGAGGGTACAATTCAACCATTAAATTACTGTTGTTAAGAATCTAACACCTCAAGGATTCGAAGACTGGTTAACTGTGTAACATTTAGTCCTCTTGTCTGTACCAGACACACACTCTTAAAATTATTGCTTGTGTTTGTGTGACGTTGCAGTTTTATTATTTTTTCCTCTGTGTTGGTAGGTGATAAAATTCTTCTTTCTTTCACCTATGACGACCCTGGTAATTGATTTCTTCATCTCCTAGTAAATTACATTTCAATAAAGTGTAACAGCTGCATGCTGAAATGAAATAAAAATATTTGTTGTGACCAACCAAGATGGAATCACAGAAACAGACCCTTCGGTCCAATTTGTCAATGACGAGCAGATATCCTAAATTAATCTAGTCCCATTTGCCAGCATTTGGACCATATCCCTCTAAACCCTTCCTATTCATGTACCCATCTTGATGCCTTTTAAATGTCGTAATTGTACCAGCCTCCACCACTTCCTCTGCCAGCTCATTCCATACACACACCACCCTCTGTGTGAAAAAGTTGCCCCTTAGGTCTCTTTTAAATCTTTCCTCTCTTACCTGAAACCTATATCCTCTAGTTTTGGACTCCCGCACCTTAGGGAAAAGACCTTGTCTATTTACCCTATCCATGCCCCTCATGATTTTATAAACCTGTATAAGATCACCCCTCAGTTTCCAACGCTCCAGGGAAAATAGCCCCAGCCCATTCAGCCTCTCCCTATAGATCAAACCCTCCAACCCTGACAACATCCTTGTAAATCTTTTCTGAACCTTTTCAAGTTTCACATCATCCTTCCTGTAGCAGGGAGACCAGAACTGCATGCAGTATTCCAAAACTGGCCTAACAATGTCTTGCACGACCTACCAACTCCTATACTTAATGCGCTAACCAATAAAGGCAAGCATACCAAACGCCTTCTTCACTATCCTATCTACCTGTGACTCCACTTCCAAGGAACATGCACTCCAAGATCTCTTTGTTCAGCAACACTCCCCAGGACCTTATCATTAGTGTATTTCCAAAATTAATTTCCCATGTGAAGCACTTTGAAATGTTCTAGTGTCCTAACGTTCTGTATAAATATGGTAATGTTCAACAAGGTTGCACACATAGTTTATATATCCCTTTGCCTTAAGTATTTGATTAATGCAGCTATGTTAAAATGAATTTCCTAGCTCAGAGCTCACAAGTACAGAAATGTCCGGACAAGAGTGAATATCAGAAAATTGAATTGCTTATAAGAATATAGGAAGCAAGAGTAGGCCATTCAGCCTTTTCCACCATTCAAAGGGTTCAAGGCTGATGAAACTAACCTCCCAACACTAATACCAAATGTACTGTCCAATAAAGGCAAGCATACCAAAATGACTTCTTCATTATTCTATCTACCTGCAACGCCACTTTCAAGGAACTATGAACCTGTGCTCCAAGGTCTCTTTGTTCAGCAACACTCCCCAAGATCTTACCATTAAGTATATAAGTCCTGCCCTGATTTGCCTTTCCAAAATGCAGCACCTCACGTTTGTCTAAATTTAACTCCATCTGCCACTCCTTGGCCTGTTTGCCCATCTGATCAAAATCCCGTTTTACTCTGAGGTAACCTTCTTCACCGTCCACTACACCCTCAAATTTTAGTGTCATCTGCAAACTTACTAACCATTCCTTCAGTCTGAAAAGCAACCCTCCACTGCCACCCTTTGTCTTCTACCTAGGAGCCAGTTCTGTATCCAAATGGCCAGTTCTCAGAGTTTAAAAGGAGAGGTGCCGATTTTCCCTCCGCATCTGGTTGTGTAAAACATGTTTATATGTGCTGGTCCAGTAGAAGTGTTATTTTTCTTTAAAACTGATTTGAGGTAGAAGTGTTTTGTTTATTTGGCAAATTAGAAAGGATCTTTGCGGGTATCATTTGCAAATACACCATACCGCACAAAGAAAGAATTACTTCTGACAATATTTACAGAGTATATTTTCGATTTTCTGCTTTTAAGAGTACTTTCTAATCAGAAATAGGTTGCACAAAGGGAGGCATAAGAAGTTCATTGCATATTGTGTAAGGTGTAGTGTGGACAGAAAATACACAAATGTTGAGAGTGCAATTTCAATACTAAAGAAAGCATTCCAGCATATACACATCTTTCAAAGGTAAACCAATTGTTTACAACACTTTAGTTGGTTTAGCCTCCCTTAAGAAAGTATTACCTATTGATCCTGGAGAAACTGCCACTTGGTCCAAGTCGAGAATATCTTCTTCAACAGCATGCTTACTGTTCTTCTCTTTCCTTTTTTTTGAAATGTTATCTCGTGGTCTCAACAGGGAAAGTTCCTCCGGCCTACGAATATCTAAAAATATTTCAAAGTACAATTAAATTCAGTGTGTACAGTTAAAATTAGTTTCTAAAAAATATCAACGCAACACATTATTGTCTAAAACTTGAATGTTAAGCATTGTCTCCAGACCTGTTTTATAGAAACAAGAGGTCTACCAACTGCTTGAGGTATCCCTCTCCAAAATTTGTCAGTTTGCTCGGATCAGTATTCTAAGGGATTTGGAAGGCTGCTCCTCCTGGTTTCACTCAAAATTCACAGGCAGCTGCCAGAAACTCAATGGTGATGCTCACCTTCCTTCCTGCACTCTACTCCCCTTAGCTAGCATCTTGGCCAATATCTGTGTCAGCCTATCGCTGATATTCTAGGGCGGCAAGTTGAACTCTGGAGACAGGTATGGTTCTCATACTCCTTCAGTAGTAAGTTTCCAAAGCCAGTAAGTAAAAGTAAATTTAAGCCCAGTTTTCAGGGATGATTAGGTTAGGTGGGTTATAGGGGGACGGGTCTGGGTGGGATTCTCTGAGGATCAGTGTGGGCTTGTTGGGCCGAAGGGCCTGTTTCCACACTGGAGGGATTCCATGATTCTAAGATATTTGTTCTGAACGATTGAATATGTTAATCCTCTCCTGAGTGCCAGCTTTTTGAAAATATACAACAGACAGAGTGGAAAATTGAGTGGAGTACTATGTCCAATTCCGATAGCCCCGTTATAGGAAGGATATTATTATGCTGGAGGGGGTTCAGGAGACATTTACCTTGATGTTGCTGGGAATGGAGGGTTTGAGTTATAAGGAGAGGTTGGATAGGATGGGACTTTTTTCACTGGAGCGTAGGAGGTTGAGGGACAACCGTATAGAGGTTTATAAAATCATGAGAGGTATAGTGATGGCAGGTGCCTTTTCCCTAGGCTGGGGGTTATCGAGACTGGGGGCATATTTTTAAGGTAACAGGAGAAAGATTTAAAAAAGATATGAGGGGCAACTTTTTTTACACAGAGAGTGGTTTGTGTTTGGAATGGACTTCCAGAGGAAGTGGTGGATGCAGTTATAGTTATGACATTTAAAACATTTAGATAAGTACATGAATAAGAAATGTTTGGAGAGATGGGCCAAGCGCAGGCAGGTGGGACTGGTCTAGTTGGGAATTATGGTCAGCATGGACTAGTTGGACAGAAGGGTATGACTCTATGAAAAGGTTGATAAACATAAGAGGAAGAAAGAAATAGATACATCTATATGAATCAATGGGTTAGATGTAAAAGTGTGGAAGGAAGTTTGTGTTATGCATAAACACCAATGTGTTTAGATCTGTAGATCTGCTGATACATTATAAACACCATGTACTCTGTATGGATTATAGCTATGCAGCATGATAATATCCTCTTAAACCAAAACAAAATATTAAACCAATTGCGAAATTGTGCTATACAATAACATGATGTTGAAACAACCATACAATTGTACATAACAAATATTACACAAATTTCTGCAAACTTCATCATTCTCTAGGGGTATAGTTTCCTTCTCATAATTCATACCGAATGACAAATAATCAAGCAAGTGAAACACCATTTAGTTGGTAGAAATGCAAAGCTCAAGTTTCTTTGTACACCTGTCAACATTTTTGTAAAGTTACCCGCAGAAGGAATGTCATCGTCTAAGTTTGCAGACTAGGCTGTTGGCTTCAGTCCTGAAGGGTTTTGGCTCAAAACGTTGACTTTCCTGCTCCTCTGATGCTGTCTGACCTGCTGTGTTTGTCCAGCTCCACATTTACTGACTGCTGGCTTCATAACTCTGTTTGGTGTCCTTGTAACACATCTATCTGGAGTTTCTAAATAAAAACCAAAAGAACTGTGGATGCTGTAAATCAGGAACAAAAACAAAGTTGCTGGAAAAGCTCAGCAAGTCTGGCAGCATCTGTGAAGGAGAAAACAG